GAAGTGGTGAATCAATATACAGTTACTTAATTATTTTTTTTGCGTAATTACTGGTAGTATGTGTATTATGAGCCATCACCACCCTGTCAATTTCTAACTCGAAGTAATCATTCGTACCGTCGTGAAGTTTTTTTTATTTTTATTGTCCTTTGGTTATTGGTAGTAGGACCTCTTGTGAGTCCGCACGGGTAGTTACCACCACCCTGCCGATTTCAGGCTTGAAGCAGTAATGCGTATCGGTTTCAACGGTGGGGCAGCCTTTGTACTGTTAAAAGTGAGCCTTAGAACTCACATCCCATGGTGAGTGACAGCATTTCCGTTATAAATGTCTATGGGCTCCGATAACCATTTTTTTTTATTGCCCTTGTAGGCAGACGAGCATACGACCCACCTGATGGTGAGTGGTTACCGTCGCCCATGGACTTCAGCAATGCCAGGGGCAGAGCCAAGCCGCTGCCTACCGCTTAATACTCTCCACAAGCCTCGTTTGAAGAAGGACATGTCATAGCGCTCGGGAAACACCGTGGAGGGGAGCTCATTCCATAGCCGGATGGTACGTGGCAAAAAAGACTAGGTGGGCTGTGAGCTCGTCCATCCATCTATGCAATAAAAAAATATGAATTTCCCTTGCAGCGCGTTACCCCCATCAACCTGCTCGTAATGTTTCCTTTACAACTGTTCCTAGTGAATGGTATTTTCTTAATACCTCCTACCTACACATCTCTGTTACCTGTTAAACATAGGCGTTGAATGTGTGAGCTCGGACCGTTTCCTACAGTCTTCCTATCGATTTCTCTAACGTTGTGGGTCGTAATGTGAGCCCGGACCGATAAGAACACGCATGGAACTGGTGCTACAATCACGCCTGTTTCTATTGGGAAATACTTTTGTGTAGGAAAGCCGATATTCCAACTCAATTATGACTTACAACTCTTATTTAGCAACCACTTCATTCCAGGCAGACTATGTGCTAACCTAGCAGATGTTAAGTCAATAAAATAAGCCTCCAAGCGAATTTAGAGCAAACCAGTTTACTCACTAAGGAAGTATTTCAGAATGTCTCGGGCGCCGCAGAGTCAATTTGGCGTCTCTTTGATGTCATTCGTGACTGCTTTATCTGTCAACCGTACTGCCGGGCTACGTGTGTATACTGTGGACTTGAACGATTTTTATGAATGTTATTTTAAAATTATTAGGGCTGTCCATGTTTATTGTTGTCTTATTAAGGATTGAGATTGATGCGTTAATTTATGTGTGAACTTACGCCACTGTAATATTATTTGGTCTTGTTTGGTAAAATTGGAAATTCGACGCTGAAAAAGTTGAAAAGTATATATCATCTTTTAAAAATTCATTATTTTTATTCCACTATCGAAACTTTTCTAATATTAGTTGTAATAATAAGTAAAGGTGTCAAATAACCAAAGGTATGGGCTATCATTTAAGTCATAGTTATAGTTATTTAAATGTTATGTATATTTATATGTTATTTATTAACATGTATTACATTTTTTGACATGTTACATTTGACATACTTATTACATATTACTTAATAATGTTTAAAATTACAACACAAAAATATGTAGCGTCCCATCTAAATCTCTACGAAGTGCACAAGTGTATCTCAGAACTTTACTATTAGTCAATACCGTTCTTAAATACACACATCACCGAGCTAATTTGTTTCAAGAAAAAACTACACAAATACAAAGTTGAATTTTGTTAAAAATCAAATAAAATAAACGGACAAGTTCATAGTTAAAGTGTTAGTACTTAAAGAGACAAAAAAGAACGCGTTGCGATGAAAATATTGCCGTGTAAATGGGGCTAACAATAACGGAATCTCCGCGTTTCGCCAATACTTTTCTTATTACGAACCGATGAAGTGCATTTTCGTTTGTACATTATAGTGATTTGTTACTTAACTGTATTGGGCGGAACGCTTCCTTCCCGTATAAACAAATGTAAGAATGTAGATCGGAACAAATAGGGTTATGTTCCCTAATGTGGATCAATCCTTTTGGAACGAAAGAATATAGACTCCACGTTACGATTACCGGTTGGATACTACCTTTTTTTGCCTACCTCTACGGCTAGGGGTTATGCTAACTTCACCGAATAATGTACCTGAACTTCGAGTCTTAGACTGGGATACTTTATTAACATCTGCCCTAACATGAGCTCCTTCGGTCAAACTTAGAGTTGCTTTGGAATAATGCCTATTCCGTCATTCGGAGAGGAACGCCTAAGAAATAGAGATGTAAAAAGTATGAATTCGAAGTAGATAAGTTAAGTAGGAGAATGTACTGAGGATAAGATTATAAACGTATTGTGATAAGATATGTTTATTGATTGATGGGAAGACGACCTTACGGTCCACCTATTGTTATGCAGGTTCTGATTAGGCATGAGGAATGAGGTTCAGATTATATATGAGAACAATTGTTCAGTTCTGTCAGGCTTGGAACGTGGGGATAATGATCACCTTGATATATAAGTTCTAAGGTCTCAATATAGTTACAACGGCTGCCCTACCCTTTAAACCGAAACGCATTACTGAAACGCAACGTTCACGGCAGAAATAGGCAGGGTGGTGGTACCTACCCGTGCGGCCTCACAAGAGGTCCTGCCACCAGTAAAAAAGATTATTGCAAATTTGAGTTGAGAGGAAGGAATTATTAAATAATTATGATTTAATTTTTCTAATTTACTTTGGTTATGCTTGTTAACGAAACGTGGTCCCAAACTGTAAATTATTCGAGTCAGAAAGAATATAATGACAATCTCTTAATAATTTCATTGTGTCAAAATTTACTCCAGTTACGCACAAAATCTCTAGAATTTCATGCAGAAATAACTAGGTACCGCGAGAGTTTTATTGCTTGAATAAAACAATGATAAGGATTACGCAAACTTGGCTGAATATTTAAGCACACATAAAGATTACGCCGAGGTCAATTTTGATATAAATAAATGATCCTTTGTTCAAAGATTAAAATATAGTAAAAATTAATACGGAATAATTATAAGGTATTAATGTTTTTACGTAAAGATTGGCGTTTCTCACACCGTTGATGTTGTCTCTCGGAGGACGTATTGAATTAGTGAATTAAGTTTAAATTATGTAGTCTTCTTTGTTTGTACGAGGGCTTGAATTCAAAGTAAAAGTCGAGAGTAAACCTTTTTCGTAGTGCGACCAGTGAGCGTTCTTTGAACTTAATTTTAACTCAAATAATTTTAGCGTATTTTTATCCGAACAATTATCGAACTATGATCTTCGCTAGAAGCTACAAATCTCGCTACTCTTTTAAAATGTAACAAGCCACTAAATCTGTAATTGTAGAGTACGTTTCAGATTCCAACAATAAACGCCACCATTCATCATACCCACCATAACCCCTGGTCAGTTCGGCACTTGGAGCTTGCGTGAATTCCCTTCCACGACGTCTGACCAGCGGTACTTGGGCCTCCCTACGGGGCAGCGTCCTTTTTTCCTACCTAAGCTGGTAGTCTAGAGAGACCATATCTGCGTAACTTTAACTAGTCGGCGAGCTCACGGGACTCACGGGGCTCAAACCTGACGATGACGCTAACACGACCCTAGCAAGAGCCGGCTTCGCAGAATCTACCACCGGATCGGAAACGCGATCCAATGAGAAGATCCGGCGAGAAACTCAGTGGGCTGTGTCTGTGGGTTAATTTACTCGCATGCGACGGGTTTAACGAGAACGATGATCTGTCAGTCCCTGTAGTACAGCCGTTTTACAGTACCAACCTTACTGCATCCGCAATAGATCCCCAAGCCTTCATCTCCCAAAGGCTTAGAGAGCAGTAAAATTAGGTTAGAGTTAATAATGTATTTTAATTTTTGCATTAAGAAATACAAAAAACTGGCAATCGAGTTAAACCTCGCCGCCACAGTATGGAAGTGCTCAATATTAACCGGAGCTAAGCTAACGAGTTAACTAAAACCGCGCAAGGTTCAAAGGCAGCCCGAGGAAAGTGCGCGTCTAGTCCGTCGCAGCCGCGCGGGCGATCGTCTGTCGGCGCACATTACAAGGAGCAATACCTGGCAACGAATGCGTGATGCTACTCGCTGCACGAGACTCCCCTTAGGGGTATCAAACGTGGCAGTTGTAACTTCACACTAAAGAATACACTTCCGAGAGGATTGCAAAGCTGAGAGTATATATACTGAAATCTTTGCGAATTCTAATAGCGCGATGCAGGTTTTCTGTTAATAACTTTGTCAATTGTTACATAATTTCATCGTTTTCATGAATAATTTACATATATACTGATATAACATGATTTAAAGAAATTTGTTTTAAAATATTATGATTTTTACTGGTATATTTTAAAGGAATTCTGAAAAACATTTAATGGAATTTATTTTGGTTGTACAACGCCATCTAGTGGTAGTTATTCAAAGATATTAAATCTCTTAAAAGAGTTTATTCATATTTTTTCGTTCAGTGTTTCCCAGTTTAAATTTGTTTCATTTTAATATTAGTTAGATTTTCTGTCTAATTAGTAATCTTGTAAATGAGCATTAAAATTTTGGACTTTAAACAGACAATTTTCTGTTTAAATTTTACACTATTACCACCTTATTGTAAAGCTATATTTTTAGGTTTTTTTAAATTTAGCCTATTTAGTAGCTGGATTTAGATAGTTTTTGAAAAACCGTCGCTCTTTTAAGGTTAAGTCTTTTCCAATGTATATAGACTATAGTATCCGCTACGTACTTTTAAGATATTGAGTAAAATATCATCAATGAATACTGACGCCATTTGATTGGCGATTCAATTTTATTACTTTAATATTCGAATCATCTCAAATATTAGTATGAAGGATTCGTTGTTAGGTCGTGAATCTGAATTAGATGAAAGCTACTTATTAGTAAAATAAATGATTGAGCTTAAGAAAATACAGTACGGCGGTAGTCTAGTGATATATAAAAGATATTCGATTTATTGAAATTATTTTCTTTGTTGCAGGATATCAAACAATGACCGAGACGAGAGTCCTGTTACCGACGGCAATGTCCCACCAGAGCCACCTGACCGGCCGCCCGGGAAACCTCGTCAAATACACCCCGAAGATAAAACTCAAGTTTTGGCATACGACTCCTCGTGTCGACGTAGAAACAAACCCAAAACGCTACCCATAGATGAGAACCATTACAATCATTTAGCTAATACGAATGTACTGAATTCTCCGATGTATCCGTTGACGCCGAACATTTGCATCGAGGGGGGTAAGATTGAGTTCATAAAATCGCCGCCGGGGAGTGCTAGAAATAGTTTGGCGCTAGCCTCGCCCCCTCAGACCCCGTTGTTAGCGCGGCGCGGCTCTCGGGAGAAACGTGAAGCACGGATTTATGACGAGCCGACTGAGAAGTTCGACGGTGACAAGGTAGATGGCGCTTATTTACATTTTTCTCAATGGATGCTGTTACGCAAAACCGGCACGATTTGGAATTTGTACGCCAAAAGTTTTATTATTTTCGACGATTAATAGGTTCGACGAGTGAATTAACCCATAGACTTTTTTTATACCCATACCCCATAGACATATTATTATAACCCATAGACACAGTCCACTGAGTTTCTCGCCGGATCTTCTCAGTGGGTCGCGTTTCCGATCCGGTGGTAGATTCTGCGAAGCACGGCTCTTGCTAGGGTTCGTTTTAGCATCAACGCCAGATTTGAGCGTACTGGTCCGGTTACGCTGACGTAGCCTCTCAAGGCTATCAGCTTAGGTAGGAAAAAAAGACATTTATATTATTTTAACGTTTTCAAGAGTTTGAATTATCAATCTTATCATTAAGCCTCTTGAGATGGTATGTATGACTTGTTATAATATGATTAAATGTGTTTGCTGATGAACCTTGATCGTTTTGTATTGTTATCGCATTGATGATTGAACCAAACAATGAATTGTATTGTTCTCAATTTCTGTCATGTCACTTCGAAGGTAAATTTCAATTAATAACATCATCCAAGCATTTTTTGATTTTTGTTTTTACGCTGGCGAAATCCTGGCTCAACCGATTTAAGGTTTTTTTTTTATTGCTTAGATGATGTTATGTGGTTACTAGAGTCCATAGACATCTAGGATGTAAATGCGCCACCGACCTTGAGATTTAAGTTCTAAAGTCTCAGAATAGTTACAACGGCTGCCCCACCCTTCGAGCCGAAACGCATTACTTATTATTACTTATTTCTTATTAAAGGTGATTAACGGAGCTCATAGAATTCGCTTTCTGTCACGAGGAAATCGCAAGTTCTAGTATGATGAAGAGCTGTGATAAAGGTTATTCGACTTGATGTTTCGCGTATAGGCCATGACGTTTATGGGCTACAACGGATTAGGCCGGTTGTGATTTTCTTTTCTTGTTCTATTCGCTAGTATTCTAATGGGCTATTCCAGCTACCCACGGACGGGTAGGTGAGCTCACGGGCTCAACATTGAGAGAATGTGCTAACACTGGCCCTAGTGAGAGCAGTGCTTCGAGGAATCTACCACCGGATCGGAATTGCGATCCTCTGAGAAGTACCGGCGAGAAACTCAGTCGGTCGTGTCTATGGCAGGGAGATAAACGTAGTACAAAAATGGCAACAAACTCGAAATAATTCTAGCGCAGTGAAAAACAATACAACTTTAGACGAAGGACCGTTTACCCTCGTCAAAAACCTTTCAAAAACTTTTCATTCGCATATTTACGTTTCGGAATATATTTGGTCCCGGCGGCATGATGCATCTGCGGCAAACGGGTCCACGACGGAATATTTACGAAATGTGTTTAAAAAAAAAAGCCGAAAACGTACGCCATTTTTGTAATACGCTTTTATTAATTAGCTTCAGATGCAGTATGTTAGTATGTAACGAAATCTTTGAACATGATTTTGACCCCATTCAAAACGATTAACTCAAAATTTGGTATACTTATTGAGGATCGACGACAATTCAATATAAAAAAATAATAATTAAAAATTGAAATTCAAGTAAAAATTGAAAAATAAATAATAGTTTAAAAAAACTTACAAAATATGCTTTTATAGAAAATCCAACTAAAAAATAGAAAATAAATTTTAATAAATTTGAATTAAAAATAGTGTAAGAAAAAATGATTTTATTGTAAAAAATCGTGGGGTGCTTTTCAGCTTACGCTGCTTATCCCAGCTTTTGCAGTCGTTATGGCCTAAAGGATAAGACGTCCGGTGCATTCGTATGTAGCGATGCACCAGTGTTCGAATCTCAGGCAGGTACCAATTTTTCTAATGAAATACGTACTCAACAATAAATGCTTACAATTGACTTCCACGGTGAAGGAATAACATCGTATAACAAAAATCAAGCCCGCAAAATTATAATTTGCGTAATTACTGGTGGTAGGACCTCATGTGAGTTCGCGCGGATAGGTACCACCACCCTGCCTGTTTCTGCCGTGAAGCAGTGATGCGTTTCGGTTTGAAGGGTGGGACAGCCGATGTATATACTTGAGACCTATAGAACTTATATCTCAAGATGGTGGCGCATTTACGTTGTAGATGTCTATGGGCTTCAGTAATCATTTAACACCAGGTGAGCTGTGAGCTCGTCCAACCATCTAAGTAATAAAAAAAAAAATTACATCAGTAAAAAACTAAGGGATTTGCCCAAAAAAAAAGAATAAAAAAAGAAATCTTCTTAGGAAATATCCAACAAAATCACAGTGAGAAAATCTATGGAAGTTCAGGTTGGCTTACGGAAACAATTCAAAAACGACTAAAGTCGCATTAGGGTGTAAGTACACCAATTACAGGGACCCTCGAACGTAGACGATGAATTGAAACTTAAATCTATGTTGTACATTTAAGTGGTATATTATATATAAACGAAAAATATGTATTAAGGAGAAGTATGGCACTTGATTTTCATGTTCCTAAATTGATAGATGCGGTAATATTTTTCGATGTCGCATATAATAAACATAATTGAAATTATCTGGCGGTTTTTATTGTCAGCAATGCTATTTCCTACATTTCGGATACTTTAATATTTTGCTAAACGTGTTCTATAGTAATTTTGATTATGGATGTGTTTAAGCTAACAAATAATCTCGTAATATGAGATAGGCCTTGGGGCCTTGGGGCCAAATTACTAGTGGTCCCCGGTTGTCGTAATTCGACTATAATTAATTAATTGAAATTATAAGTTTGTACACTATTATGATTCTATCAAAGACTACTTACTATACTTCTACAATCACAGATTTCGCCAAGACGAGGTAAATATTAATAAAGACAAACAATACCTATTTAATCTATTCTCAATTTGACCACAGACTATAATCAATAAGAAAAGTTGACAATAAACAAATAGTATGCATGCGTGTTGCGTCAAACACCTGTGTATGTGTGCGTATTGTGTGTAATGTTTTTATTTATTGATTTCATGTATTTTTTATGCATAATTTAAAAAAAATGTTAACGTTCTGCACTCCATCTTTAAATTCTCTATAAGTGTGGGATAGCTCATACTCCGTCCGCGCAATTTTCGTTAAAAGGGGTACAAAGTTTTTGCTTCACGTATTAATATATAGAAATTATAATTTTACATACAAACGGCGTTAAATTAATCCTAATATATGCTTGATTTCGGTTAGGCTTGAACATCATTAATACTAATAACACCTACAGTCCTATGTATCGAAATAAATATATCTATGCTAAGATCAATGTTGGTAACCTTGTAGAATTGGTTCGCGATACTGCCTATATCTAATTTGTTAATTATCCTCTTAACGAGAACGGGACATACGTACATGTGGGAAGAGAACGCGATTGATTTTTTTTTCCGATCTTCTCAATGGATTACGATTCTGATCCGGTGGTACATTCAACGAATTCTTGCTCGGATTTGTGTTACTTAATTCTTTCAGGCTGAACAACGCGAGCTTTTCCACTAGTCGAGGTGAAGCCAGAATAAACCCTAGAGGCTAATTGCAGAAAGGTAGACAAAAAAAAACTAGTGAGTGAGTGTGTGAAGAGCGGATCATAAAGAATAGGGGATCATAAAGACGGTGTCGCACGATATTATACTCTTATTTTTTATTTTTTGTTGCTTAGATGGGTGGACGAGCTCACAGCCCGCCTGGTGTTAAGTGGTTACTGGAGCCCCATAGACATCTGCAACGTAAATGCGCCACCCACCTTGAGATATGTTCTAAGGACTCAGTATAGTTACAACAGCTGCCTCACCCTTCAAACCGAAAGGCATTACTGCTTCACGGCAGAAATAGGCAGAGTGGAGGTACCTACCCGTGCGGACTCACAAAAGGTCCTACCGCCACTTAAAGAGTGACTAGCTATAAGATCAGTATTTTCTATACCAAATAAGTATGAGACGAAGGTATTTCCTTTTGAACTTCAATCAACGATACTTATCTGCGTATTTTTTCATTCTTAAGTCGCCGAGTTAAGATTTAGTTGTAATTCACCGATTAAGTTGATGACTTGCTTTAACAATTTCGCAGCAAAAAACGATCGAATTAATATTCATATTAAATTCTTCTTGCTTGATAACTTTATTTATCTGTGGTAAGTACTTGAAGAAGCATCAATGAGGGACTTTTTGGCGGGAACGCGAGGAGTGAAGTTGTGTGATTTGTTTTATTTTGTCTATTTAGTGTTTCTTCAGGTTTAAATGTGTAATAATGGTGGTTTATTAACTGTTTAATGTCTGTGAAAGAGCACAAATGTGGGAAAATGAAACAAAGCCGCTGGACGTAACTTCTCGGGATCCTCCAAAAAGTCCACTGAAAAAATCTTAGTAAATGACCACCATTTTACTGAGATTATATTTCATCCCATTTCATTTCATTTAATTTCATCCCAGTTGATTAATGTCTCAAATTAATCATCTTCATTGCATTTCACTCTATAATATCATTTTTCATAAAAATATGAATATAAAATAAAATAAGACATGACTTAAAGGTCTTCGTTACCAGGTCATAAAATCCCTTAAAAAAAAAGAAGCATCAATGACAGTTTTGACCCGTGACTCTTCTTGACATTTCACTGCATAGTCCAAAAATATTAAATTTTAATTATTAAGTGTATTTATTATCTATGATATTAAACTTGTTACTTGTCCTGGGCGATACATTTGCAGGGGCTCGGAGTGGCTTGAATTAGCCGCTTCCCCGTTCAAGTTTTGGACCGCGACGTAGGGCTGGATAAAAGTTCGTTACCTAAAATGAATTTGATTTCACAGGCAATAGTACAATTGGAGGAGAATTATCGATTTGTATTCACATTAATTGTTATAGCATTTACGATTTTCTTCGTTTATGATAAAGTTAATAAAGATTCTGAATGCGAAGAAAATATGTCAAGGCTTGAGAGAAATTACTAGTCTTATTTTGC